CCCCCCCCCCCCCCTCAACACACACATGCGTCACATGTCCGTCTCCATCGCCTAGCTATGCCAGTGCATAGGCCTCCAGTTCGTCGAGGTCGAAGTACCAGCCCCTGACACTTGCAGGGGAAAAGCCTGCCTGACTAATCGTCTCCCAGCCGGGCACGTGCACCTTGGCCCTCTCCCAGGTCGGCCAGAAGCTGGACGGCGCAAAGGCGTGGCATCGCTTCAGCGAGTGCAGCATCGCGACATTGACTGAAGGGGGGCGCTGGCCGGCCGACGAGGGGAGGATGCCCATGTCGAAGCCCGACACAACGAGGAGTGCCCTCACGGTGGTGCCCTTGGCTGTAATGTCATCCTCCACACGCAGCTGTCGCAGCCCAGCAAGATGTAACTTACTGCCGCCGAGAAGGCCTTCCTCTTGTCGATACCCGGCCGGCCTCTTAAGCTTGAACAAAGCCGTCTTGGCTTCCACCTCGGACCCGTTGTCGGCCGTCACGTCGATCTGGCCAGCAATGGCCACGGCGAAGAGCTCCCCAGTGCCCTCAACGCGACCCATGAGCAGCAGAGGCGAGTGGCCTTTGACTGCATCGAGAAACTGCGCCCATCGCCAGCCATCCACTGAGGCACGGTAGAGGCGCTTGATGGGCTCCCCCAGCCGTGCCGGAATCGCCCTTAGATGCGCCACATGAGGGTCGAGGTCGTCGGTGGCTTTGACTGTGTCCCATTCGGAGTTTCGGATGAAGTCAATATGCTCCTGCGTGAGCAGCCAGTCTCCCTCTCCCGGCGACAGATAGACGCTCGAGTCGATGCCGAAGAGGTCCAGAGTTTCCCGGTACTCGCTGAGGTCGGAGGCGCCCATCGACTGACGCACATCCTCGATGCTTGGAGGCCGACTGCATGGACACACAGCACACGACATCCATCCAGGCAGTCAATCAGTCTGTGTGTCTAGGGCGTGGCTGCATGAGCGAACGTCTCACCTTTGGATGCTGGCTCGCACGGCGAGATCCACCACGCGGCGGACACAGTCGAGCGGACACACACTTGAACGATCATACCTGAAAGACAGACAGACACGGTGATGGTAGGCCAACGCATTAATGCGTACGTACGTGTTGAATCGTCTGAAGAAGTTGGAAGTCTCTCCGAGAGCTCGAGACGCCCCGACCGTCACTGTCACCTTCCAGGCGATCACATCGAGGGTCACCAGCTGATCAAGCCAACCAACGCACAATGGCATAAGCCAGCTGAGGCGCCTGTCCCGTGCCCTCTCACCTCATTGTCATCTTTGCTGGGCGATCTGAGCAGAGGTTTGATTGCCCGCAGGCGGCCCATGTCGGCTTCAGTGCTGTCTGTAGAACGGTCTCTTTGCTGGTCCGTGGGGACCCGCAAGAGCATGTTGACCCAATAACTGACATGACGGACAACGTTGATAGATAGCATCATGCAGCACGTTGTTGTGTGAAGACACCCACCCACTCTCTCACCCACCTGAATGGCAAGTCCCTCTTCTGTGCATCAGACAGACCCATGTCGTCGACGCTGATGGCACCCTGCTCGTACCGCGTCAGCTTCTCGACCATCCTGATTTAACACATCCATTCAGCCATGGCGGCCACCAATCAACGGACACCCACGTGCCGTACCAGTTGAATGCTGGCGCGTACACCGGGAGGAACCAGCGGCCATGAGCATCACGGACGAATTCATCGTCGACTTGGCCAGAGAAGAGGGTCGCCATCACGCTGCCCTTGACGGCGCACAGTGTGGACCGCTTGACGCTGAGGCACTCGCCGCTGATGTTGAGATCAATCCACTGCGCCATCGTGCCCGCCGGCACCTCATGGTCGTCCACCAGACGGAGGGCAGGCGCCTTGACGGCTGGATCTGTCGATGAGATGAGGCTGCATCCAGCCGTCTTGTCGTCCTCAGGTGACCGAGATGCATCGTTGCCACTCACAGTCGCTCGAGGAATACACGAAGGCCTGAAGGGGGCATAGCATCTGGCGAATAGCCTCATCCTTGCCCTCGCGATCGCCAGATCTTCGCCTTTTTTCAGCTCGCAAGTGAATGACGAAATGAGACTGGGCTTGTGGAGTCCGCTGCCCTTCCTATGCTTTGCGGCTATGCTCAAAATGGGATTTGCAGCTCTTTTTCGCGAGTCAACGGGTTCACGAGATGATCTATCGTTCGCAGTTCATCGAGGGCCACTGCCGCCACTACAGAGGCGTCGTGCAGCAGCAAGTCGACACCGAATGATGAAGATGCAGTCCATCGATGAGAGCATGTCATTGATCCCATCCGCCATCTCTGCCCACCTTGCTGTGCTGCTGGATCAACCGCCTGAGAGTCCCTACATGGCATCGCCTTCGTCTATCCCTCTCCCGTGGCAGCCGCTGTCCGTCGCCGTGTCGGCCGGCAGTGTGGCTGCTCCCGTGCTGGCATTCATTCTCTATGTCATCTTTCGAGTGGCCACCTACTTCAGCGTTCAGGTGCTCACCACCAGGGCACTGCAAAGCATGGTCAGCTTGGAAGAGACCACCGGGATACGGCCATCCATCCATCCTTCCTCATCTGTGTCCGTCGATTTCTCATCAGATCTTGCCTCGGAGCATTGTGGTCGAGATGGAGACTCGCGACGCAATCAACTTCTACTACTACCCGCGCGACGTGCTGCGGGTCACCTGCCCGGGGGTGGACAGCGGCAACAGCCTCAAGCAGAAGGCCGTCACGGAAGGCGCCCTGCAGAACAGACTGCCGATCGAGCCGCGGCAGGAGGCCTTTGTGGACCTGAAGGTGCCTGATGGGTCGGTGGATTGCGTCGTGTCCACCGGGGCCATCTCGCGTCATGTGGGCGACCCGCTGCCTTTGTTGATGAAGGCTGCTGAGCTCTTGAGGCCGGGGGGACAGCTGCTGCTGCTCGAGCCCATCAGGGGCGGCGGACCGGTCAGACAGTCAGTCAGTGGCCCAATAGATGAATCCTGACGGATGGCATCATCTCTGTCTTTGCAGATCGGTGGGTTACGTGGTCTGCTTGGGTTCATTCACTCAGTGACAGCCATCGGCAGCAACCCAGGGAGAGACCTGGAAGGTCAGCCGGCAGACACACACGTCAACACATATTGTTCCACTCTCTCTGCGTGCGCCAGGTCTGATGGCGTCGGAGCCTCTGTGTGATGTGTTTGACTACGAAGTGGTGCAGGAGGGCGGCAACATACTCGACCCATTCGTCGTCGCAATCGCAAAAAGGTGCGCACACACAGATCACACCCATCATGGTGCACACATTAGTTGTTTGCGTGCGCAGGAAGGAGGCTGTCAGAAGCGAAGAGGACGCACCTGTCGGCGAGAAGGTGCCCATCACAGCCGAGAGGCGGCAGCAACTGAAGAAGGCCAAAACACAGACAGCGGGCAAACGCGGCACTGGCAAGGGGAGAAGAAGATGAGAAACGGGGAGATGAGGGTGGGCAGATTTTCCTCCGTATGCTGTGTGCGGGTGAAACCATAAATGTGGAGCGATGGAGATTTTTCCCCGTTGTTGAGTGTATCTGTTGAGGATCTTTGCGTGTCAGTTGGTCTGCGCGCATCCCAGAGACACATCATTATGCGATGAATGGTAAAGTCCTCTTCATTTAACAATGGCAGCACGAACGCTCGCAGGAGCGAAGTGGCGCGTGAAGAGCAGACAACATCTCAGCAAATATAAAATGTAGGCAGCGTTCTTCACCGCCTCTCTCCCGCCCCACTGTCCCAACTGAGAGGCCTGGTCACGCCCTCCGGCTTGTTTCCCGACATGCCACGGGATGTTGGGCCTCAGGCTAGGATCGAAGGCGCAGAGGCTCTCACTGGCGACGGTAAGCAGCTCAAGAGCTGTCCACTTATCGGTTCGGCAGCGGTATCTGATGCACACACAGACGGACACACGCATGGAGGTCAGGGGACGTGCCGTCACTTCCTTGGCTGACCTCTTTGCTACTACGGAGATGAGGGTCTCAATGTCGACATCGAATCATTTGCTTGACATGATGCAGCGCTCGGGTGTCTGTTCAAGGGATACACAGAGAGGGAGGGGCAACAGGTGCGAGGATGGCTTGGCCATTGCAGTCAGTGGATACGTTAAAGCGAGACCCGCCATGGAAGGGCCCCAACTGCACATCGCGATCAAACATCTCAGCCAACAGAAGCAACTGAGTTGGATGGTGGGTGAATCAATCACTTACGGCGCTTTTGTCTTCGACCGACACAAAGAGGGTCGTGAATGGGCCGTGAGACAGGTTGCTGCCCTTCCTGCCGCCTGTGTGCTTCCACCTATATAGGCAGGACAGTAAGTAATGCAAAGCACATCGTCATTATCATCCTCGTACTGACACACGCACAAACGAATACACGTACATATCTTGTGTGAGCTCAAATCGTATGGCCCCCCGCTGCTGGGTGTGTGCGAAGGGGGAGTGATCGGGACCGCTGGGGTGGTGGGGAAGAGAGAGAGACACACACAGAGACGTCTATCTGCGCGTCTTCCATGTCTACCTTGATCGACGTGTCCCCTCCCAGACACAGCTTGAGCAAGTTATAGACGCGCTTGAATGTCATCTCAAGGGGGGAGCTCTCGTCACCTGCACACAGAGGAACATCAACACAAATGCGGCGATCCATCTATATGAACTATCACCGATGTGCTCACGCTGTATCTCGACCTACACCGTCCCGTGCGACGGCTGGCGAAACCTCAGCGGCTGCCAGCTGCTGTAATCGTCGATGAAGTGCGGGTTGCGCATGGCCCAGGCAGCTACCACGGACATGTCGCCCTTCAGCCAGCCCCAGTTGGGCGGATTTCTTCTGAGGCCATCGGGCGTGTAGGTGTGGCTCTGTGTGGTCTTGTCGTGGGCTGCCTGGCAGACGGCGGCGGCGATGGCCTTGGGGTCGGAGAAGGGCTCAAATCTGTTGACCACGGCCTCAAACTCGTCGTCGAAGAGGTTCTCCGCGACGGCGTTGCTCACGCACAGGAGGAGATCGCCAGAATGAAGAAACTCCAGGCGGTACTTGTGCATGACCTGGCGAAGACAGCCGGGCGATGGGTTGGTGCGGTGGTAGCTGTCCGGAGGGCTGCTCAGCTGGCACGCGGCGTCAGCTGACTCAGCCGCCATGGAAGCCACACGGCCTCCATTCCTCTTTTTTCCACCTTGGCGCTGCTGTGGGTGACATAAAATCGCGTACATCTTGGCGATAGGGGCCTAGCCAGAAACAAGTCAGTCATGTCTCTGGTGATACATACGTGGTGGGCGATGTGTGAATGGATGACTGGATGGATGAATGGATGGATACCTATCTGAGGTTGAAGAGCGTCAATATGTGCTTCTCAAAGACGGCCAACGGCGGTCGCTCTATCTGCAGGATCACATACTCGTCTCCTGCCTTCCACAGGAGCATACACACATGACATCACGTGTATGAGTGGGGAGAGGGACATGTCTGTCTGTCTGTCTGTCTGTGTTGGCTGACCGACCTCGCAGATTGCCCTTGAAGACCGTGCCGTACACGCCAGCGCCCAGGCAGTAGTCGGGGCGGAAACAGTGGGTGGCATATTCCAACTCCTGATATGTATTTGGAGAGCACCCGCCACTGCCAATGGCGTGTATGGCATGTGCTCCCTCTATCTCCTCAACACCCACTTACGTCAAAGCGGTACTGCCATGAGTCGACGCACTTTCCCGAAGCCCACCAAGATGTGCTGCTCGAAGATGGCTGGCGGCACAAGATACACACAAGATACACACACACCACGTGTATGAGTTTTCCGCAGTAGACTCACAGGCGGGCCCCAGTGTCTCTGTACTGTGGGTGAAGATGATGTCGTACAGCCATTCGATGACCTTTCTTGCCTTCTTCAGATATGAACTGGTGGACCAAGGCAATCACCAACACCAGGACAGGACGGAGATCAGCACAATTGCCCAAGCCTGCACACAAAGGCGAAGAAAGGCATGAGCAGTCGTCGCTCGTAGGGCAAGGATGGAAGTCTTTGCGCTTTCTTTGATAGACACAACTTCAAGGCCTTGAACATCAGCTGCAGCGGCTGCATTGGCCTTTTTGGCGAGATGCTCATGGTCTCCTCCGCCTCGTGGTTGATCCGCGGTGCTAACTTACGGATGATCGTGTCGAGGCCGCCCAACAGCTGCGCACGAGTTGGGTAGGGGTCCAGCACGCAGAAAGGGGCAGAGATCTTATGGATGCCTGTGTGAACACACACAGACAGACATGAACAGCAGTGTGCTGTCGTGTGGGTGCATGCCCTGCTTGTAGTAGTGGATCTCTTTCTGGCGCATGGCACAGTAGTGGGCCAACACAGCCTTTAGGTCGTCCTTGGTCTGCTGAGTGAGGATGTCCTCCACAATCAGCTGCAAATAGAGCGACAACGCAAACACAGTGACGCACTTTCTGCGACTGACCGTGGTGTGTGCGTACCTTGCTTGTAGTGATGTGTGTTCTGCTGCATCGCACACGAGTGGCATCATTCCCTCCACCCTAATCCCTCCCCCCAAGGCCCCCCCCCCTCGAGCAGTGCCGTGAATGCACTCATGCATATGCCAGCAAATATAAAATGTAGGCAGCAATATGATGGTGCTCGCCTCCCAGCTTCTCTGTCAGGCTCCTGGAGTAAAATATACGAGACACGTGAATGGAAGAAATGACACCGACAGTAGATTAATGACCATTGTGCCCGAGGTGAATCTCGGCGCGCCCAATTCGCCGCGTCGACGTGGAGACAGACAAAGAGACACAGACCGACTGACTAACAGGGGCGGTGGCGGGTTCGGGGGGGTTGGATCGCCACACGTGAGCGTGATCTTGGGGGCTGCCGGGGCCGTGGGTGGACGGCCACAGCGGGGCAATTCGTTGTCGGTGGGGGGCGGTGGCGCGTTTGGGGGGGGTTGGACGGGGCGGCCCGCAGTATATGCTGCTTTTGCAATCTCTCGGAGCTCCTTCAGCGCCTCCTGCGCCGACGGCCGTCTGTCGGGGTCCTCCGAAAGGCACCTAGGAAGGGATACATCCACGGACGGACAGTCAGTCAGTGAGTCCATAAGTTCCTCTATGTGTGCGTGACTGAATCTGGCGGCCGACAAAAATATGCACTCACCGAAGCGCCACATCGGCGACACGTGTGGCCGTCCTCGACGGCCACACATCGGATGCTGCCGAAGTGAGGGTCGCCCGTGTCAGCCTCTGGCCTCTCTGTGTATCCAAAGAGACATGCATCCCATGAGTGCATGTCGTATGACAACATGTATGTCTGTCTTGTATGTGCACACACGTGTCAACCTGCATACCTCGAATCTCTTCCCCGTCAGCATCTCCCTCATGACCGCCCCGAATGAGTACATGTCTGTCTTGGTCGTCACCCTACACCACAGAATGGCAGGAATGTTAAGTCATGGAGAAGGCATGCATGTCTTGATTCAGTTGGCCTACGGCTTGGATGCCACGACTTCGGGCGCCATGTATACTCGTGTGCCTTCGGGGTGGCTCAGACGAAATGCTGCACCGATCAATTCAAGATACTCACTTTTCACGCAGTGCAGCAAGAGAACCGCTGAGTACCTCCCGCCACTGCACTTACATTTGCCGGCGGTTAGCATTCGTGCACACCCGAGATCACACAGCTTGGCCTGGCGCCCTCCCCTCGTCAGCAGGATGTTCTCCAGCTTGATGTCCAAATGAACTACCGAGGGCCGCTGGCTTGAGGGGGGGCCGTGGAGGGCGCACAGCCCTGTGGCCGTGTCGATGAGAATGGCGAGCCGGTCACGCCAGTATAACAGCTCCGAGGAGCTCTCACCTGCATCCGCACAGACAGACAGACAGACAGACAGACATTCGCTTACTCACTCCATCAGCCTTCGGTGCCTTTGCCCCAACTTACGTGGCCACAGACGGCTCGTCAGGCTGCCGCCCTCGAGCAGCTCGTACAGCGGCCCAACGTCCTCGCACACACCCAGTAGCATGCACACGAACGGATTCCTGCACACACAAACCACACCACGCCACAGCATCTTCCACAGGCGCATGCATACGCACGCGTCTCCCTCTCTCTCTCTAATATCTACCTGATCCGCCTAGCCACCTCCAGTTCACGCCATAGTCGCCTCTGGGCATATACTTGAGTGCGGTTGGCGTCCCTGCCAGATAAACCAGCCCAAACCATCACAACGCAATAAAGGAAGGTGATCCAACCTTGTGGTCCATCTCATTTGTTCGTCTTTCCATCTACACCCGTTGCATATATTACCGAAACAGCCATGTCGGTATCACCATTGCGGAGGGATCTGAAGAAGACATGAGCCAACAGGTGGCACACAGCATGAGCCAGCCTTTCGTGCTCTCTCCCACCTGGGCGCATCCCACATGCTATCTGCACGGCAGTGTTGATCCACCGACATGTTTCTAGCTACTGCACGTGTGCGCATTCTGCTTACCGTCGGGCAGCTCAGTCTTCTCCACACACGCCTCGCCCCCCACGCCCAGCACATGGCCGCTGCCACGTGCAGCTGCCGCCTCCTGCATGCAGAAAGCGAGAGAGCAACCGAGAGATACAACAGACGTGGACAGCAAGGATCTCTGTACTTGGTCTCCACGTGGCACCAACATCAGGTCGCCCGGGTCGCCTACACAGATCTGACCATTTGCGGCTGCCGAGCTGCTGCTGCCACTGGCTGGTGGTGGTGGTGGTGGTGGAGGCGGTGGCGGTGGTGAGCCATTGGTGTCATCCACGGTGAGGGACAGGGGCACAGAGGGAGCGGTGGTGTGGGCGGGGACAGCTGCTGCTGACGATGACCACGAAGAGGAAGGCGATGGGTGAATCGGCTGCTGCAGTTGTATTTGTCGCTCGCTGGCCGCCTGGTGCAACTGAGTAAGACGGTGCTGCTCAGAGGTGAGGTCATCCCACAGCTGAGACAGCGACTGGAGATCCAGAAACGACGCACCATTGGCACTGACACGACTGCACCACAGACGACAGAAATGGGTGCACACGGCTGCTGTCAGTGTGTGTGTGTGGTTGCTGACCTGTGTGGTGGTTGTGTTGATGAAAGCTGCGGTTTGACCGTGAGCATCTCCCGCCCCAGCGGCGCCTCCGCCTCGCGCAGCCGACGCAACTCGGCGCCTTTCTCCTGCTCTGCACGCGCTGACCTGCACACATCAACATCCACATGACATCATCAGCGTCTCACCTGTGGCGTCTCCCGCCCTCTCTGCCTGGTTGCCTAGCTGACCTGGTCAGTACCGGTGCGCACCAAACCATCCCACCTTCCACGCCCACTTGTAGGTGGGAACACCACCCAGCCGATCGTCATCCAGTGGTGCACATGAAACACACATCATTCGTCGGCTGCTGAGTCGTGTCGTACATATGTCGAAAAGGCCCACGTTGCGGACATCCTCGAGCCAGCACTTGACATCATCGAGGTGTCCGCTTCCACAAAATCCGGCAGTACTGACATAGCTGCCCCGGTACTTCGTTTCCGCGTTTGCACTGGTAGCCCCGCACCTCTGTGAGCCTGCCTTGTTGATAAAACGGTCGAACTTCGACAGAAGACATCTGCACACAAAGAGGAAGGGCAAGAGGAGTCTGTCAAACAACACCCCCACCAGCAAGCACGTGTGAGGCCGACTCACCCTGCTCGTCCCGCCGTCCCGCCCGTGACACTGTCGACACGAGCCTCGTTGTCGGCCGATCGAAGCATTTTCAAAGGGATCAAATGCCAGCAAATATATAAAATGCAGGCAGCAATGGATCTGAAGGACAACGGAGAGACGCCAAGAAGGGGACTGTGTACACACACACAGAGACAGATCTGCAAGCACATGGATGCAGACATAAGATTTGATTTCCAAGGCCGCCCCTCTGCGGCGCTTGCGGTAGTGCTGCTGGTTTTGGCGTTGCGTCGTCTTGAGGCCCGTGAGCCAACGCCGGTCCTGTTGGCCGCCCTCTCGCGAGCCCGCAGCGGGGAACGGCTCACCAGATGCTCTGTCAAACCGAGGAACGCCAACAAGGCCACTTGCACACACAGACAGACACACTCTCCACCCGTGTGTGTGTGTGTGTGTGTGTACGGGTCGGTGTGCTGTGGTGCGCTTACGGCGCTCTCGTGGTCTGGGCCGAAAAAGGCCGTGACGTCAGCAAACACATCCTGACATCCCTGGGGGTCCTGACGCTTCCACCTGTGTGTGTCCACACACAATTAAGGCACCACATGCATACGAAAGTAGCGTACGTATATGTGTGTGCACGCACGCATGGCATTTGTGTGTGTGTGTGTGTGTGTGCAGGGCTCGGCTCGGCTCACAGGCTATCATTGACGCCCAGGCGGACAGTCTGAGCCGCACACGGGGGCGGCACACGAGGCGGGCCCTGCTGCAGGCCGCACACCGGAAAGCTGAAGGGGATCGCCCGCTTGCCATTCGCCTGCAGAAAGAACCAGTACTGCAAACCAGACACACACACCAGCACCAGGTATGTATTGTGTGTATGGCATGCTTGGGGTCTTTTCCGCTTGCGAGGACGATGAAGCGCCACAGGCGGCTGTGCGGGACGCTATCCGGCAGTCGTTGTCCCCTGCACACAGCAGCAAGACGACAAACACAGACAGATTGGCCGCTGGTTAAGCTCTGTCTGTCTGTCTGTCTGTCTGTGTGTCAGCCGATGCACGCACGTCGGATGCGCAGCTTGGTCCATTCCCCATTGAGTACGGTCCAGTGCTGAATGGGGAACACAGCCATACCTCGACTTTCTCGGCACCCGTCAGTTTCTTGCCATCTTCTGATGCGAACTGGTAGAGCAAGGCAATCGTCCACACCAGCAGAGGGGTGATGATGCAGAACGCGGACAACGCGCCGATCGCGCAGTTCGTAGACGGTATGCACTGCCCCACAAGCGGCCAAAACTGCACACGAAGAGGAGGCATGACTGAATGTCCTTGGGATCGCTCCCGAGGATCTCCTCGGCCACATGCCCCTGCAGCAACGCACGCACACCACACCAACGGTGTTATGTAGACACGTTTGGCGTTGGTGTTGGTGGGGGGAAGAGAACCTCTGAGCGCCGGTGCCCCCTGATAACCGCCCTGCTGCTCCTGCTTGACAGCTGCGTGACAAGAGTGCCCGCTAGGTACCCCCACACCTGTACACATACACACACAGAGCACGCACACACACACACGCAGGCGGTCCAGCTCCTCTCTGTGCTGCTTGGTGATGGTGTCCATCTGTGCCATGGCGGCCTTGTCGGCCTCCTCCCGCACCTGCTGGCTCACTCGACGCACACGGTCGTCGGCACTGCACACACACAGGGATGGGGGGACACAAGGGATGGTGCGTGTCAGTGTGTGCTGCTGTGCTCACGTCTTTTGCGCCTTTTTGATTGGCTTGTCTCTGTCTTTCATGAGGTCCTCGAGTGTGCTCCGCTGCACATTGGCCGCCTTCCTCTCCTTCTCAGCCATTTCTTCGACGCAGCCGCCTCAGTGGTCAACCTACACACACACACACACGGTGTGGGTGCATGGACGTTCGCCAATCAACCCGCCGTTTTTTTTCCGTTGGAATCTTTTCGCCGTACCAACGGATGTCACCCAGTCTTCCTCCATGAGCCTCAGCGTACTTCTTGCTTCCTGCCAACGGAGGTTGAAGGCATTGGGTGGCACACAGCACGTACCTCCCTGCTCGCTACCTGTATTTGCAAGCGCGTCCTAATGCAGCTGACGTCCATATGGCCACGTCCGTCGTCGTCTGCGCCAGACAGACAGACAGACAGACAGTCAGACAGACAGACATGCCGACTGCTGATGGATATGCAGCAAACAAAAACCATGGCATGTGCGCACACACCAAGGACAGCGGGCCAATCAGACCCCAGGGATGTAACAAATGCAGACACACGGCGCTACCTACCTGACAAACCTAACCTAAACCACACCCACGCGCACACATGCATGCACGAAGACCTGTTGGCTGACTGACCAGCCACGACACGCAACTTGGTGACACGAAAACACCTCAGTGAAGCCCATCGGTGGGTCATTCCTTCAGCGCCGCCGGCCGCCATTGCCAGCGATGGTGTCGAGCACCTTTTGCAGATCAGTTCCCTTGGGCATGCTCGAATACACATTTGTCGCCACTATGAATTGATCTGCACCCATGCAATACACGCACAGCAGGCAGCCATGCAGACAGTGCGCACACACCGTCACCGACGCATCGGTGCCTACCGCGTGTCTTCAGTCCCATGTCCTTGATGACTTGGCTGAGCTCCACCAGCAGCCCGCGGCCGTCTTCATCCACTGCATACATTACCTGCACACACAGATGCACACACGCACACATACAAACATGCCTTCCTTGCTACATCCACGTAAGTCCTTGGCGGCAGTTTTTGCTGCCGACTGACCAGGGGGCAGTCCCACACGAGCAGGTCGTAGTGCATGCCGACCACCAGCGACACATCCCACGGCGCCTTCATGCGCGACTGCATCCAATCCAGCACCACACATTACAGGCATGCCGTCGAATGGATGTGCGTGCCTGGCTGGCTGCCTGCCTGCCTGGCTGCCTGTCATCCTGCATTACCGCAAAGTATCCACACTGCATTGATGCGTATCCGGGCGACGCGACGCAATAAATACCCACACCCTCCAACGCCTGAACACACACACACAGACCCGCATCCTCCTCTGAGTGTCTCAGTGTCATTCGCCCACCTTCTGCATCTGCTGGCCGATCTTGCGCTGGGCGCTGAAGATGTCACGGTTGCCCCAACAGCGCAGGAAGAACGTAGGATTCTCATTTTCTTGGGCACGCAAGTCGCCCTCAAAGCACACAAACTACAGGAAAGCAATACAGAATGCATTGAGAGATCGCTGTGTGTGCAAAGCATCGGATGTGTAACCGGCGTGATGTCGAAACGTGTCTTGAGCGTCGTCAGGCGCTTCACGGCACTCCCTGTCAGCTGCTCCACTGCAGATGGGTCGGCCACGATCTCGCGAAGATCTTTGCCGTCAGCAGCCTGAAGGCAAGCACACACAGCAGCAACAAGTGAAGCAATGAACCAGGTTTGAACTGTTGGCTGTGCGCCTACCGTGAAGATGACCTCTGCACCCTGCAAACAAAATGGCCAACACGGAAGAGCACACGTAGCAAGGAACGGATGGAGTGCATGTTCCCTCTCTCACGTGAAAGGCCACACGTCTGCCCCGGAACTCCTCGAGGCTGCCTCTCATTCCGCTCCGCTTGACGCGCTCCAGCAACACCGCATTCTCAGCCATGACGACACGGATCTCAAGGTCAGCGCCTCTCTCGGAAAAGATCTTCCCCCGCTTCTTTTGTGGCTGAGCTCGCGATCCACCGCTGCTGCGGCATGCGGTACATCAGCACGCGCGGTTCGTCGCCAGCCGTGTCGTTTGAGCAGGCTTTGTTGAATGGCTATGCCCCGGACGGAGGCCTGTACGTGCCGGAGCACCTGCCGACCGTCACTCAAGATGACCTCAGGCGATGGCAGCCACTCTCATTCCCAGATCTTGCTCTGGAGATCTGCAGCCTCTTCATCCCGAGCGGCGTGATCAGCAGGCAGGAGCTACGTCAGCTGCTGGGCAAGAGCTTCGCTGCATTCGCGTCGCCCGATAAGGTGGTGAACTTGTTGCACCTGCCTGGCAAAGATGACGGCAGGAGGGAGCAGCCGCATGTGTTCATCGCAGAGCTGTTCCACGGACCCACTCTCGCATTCAAAGATGTACGTGTGCACAGCTTAAGACGATTAATGGCATGCACGACGGCCGAGTGTGTGGGTGTGCAGATTGCCATGCGGTTTGTGGTGTTTCTGTTGGATTTCTTTCTCAGTCGGCGAGAGGGCGGGTCGTCACCCTCATCGCCACCGAGGCTGCACGTGGTGGTCGCCACAACGGGCGACACTGGTACGGACGGCATTCCAGATGCATCTCGTGCATCATCACATGGATGTGTGTGTGCGGTTGACAGGACCCGCAGCGGCGAGTGCGATAGAGGAGTGCCGCCATCTCGACTGTTGGTGCTTCTTCCCATACGGCAGCATTTCCAAACCACAGGAGCGACAAATGACCACCCTCGGTGAGCTGAGTGCGACTAATCACTCCGAGGCTGCAGCCATGTGTGTGGCCTTTTGTGTGTGCGTTCGTCAGTGGGCGGCAACGTGCATGCCGTTGGTGTGCGTGATTGTCCGTTGGGCGGCGATTCGCTCGACGAGGTGGTCATCGAGCTGTTTGAGGACCGGGGGTTCATGCAGAAGGTGCCGCTGACCAGCGTCAATAGCATCAACTGGGGACGGGTCATGGTAGGTACGCACACATTTCAAGTACACACACACGCATGACACAGAGTCTGTGCAGGTGCAGATTGTGCACTACTTCTGGTGTTACTTGCGGCTGTGCGACCACATTGCGGGCTACTCGGGCCTCATCGAGATCGGGCAGGAGGTCGTGTTCAGCGTGCCAACCGGCGGAGTTGGCAACATGTGTGCGGGCTACATTGCCAGGTGCATGCGGCTGCCGATCCACCGCATCGTCTGCGCCAACAACGCCAATCACGCCGTCACGCGGGCACTGAATGATGGGTGCTTCTCCCGAAAGGCAATGGTGGCCACCCACTCGTCCGCCATCGACATCGTTGTGCCATACAACTTCTGGCGGTGAGCCTCGACTACGTCGACACGTGTCCGTGATGCATCGTGTGTCTGTGTGTGTGTGTGTGTGTGTGTGTAGGGTGTTGTATCTGGCCAGTGGGTGCTCCGCGCAGCACATCCAGCAGTGGACGCGCCAGTTCTACGAGAGCGACCAGGGCGCACAGATCGACAGCGACACGCTCACGAGGCTCAGAGAGGGTGAGTGAGGTGGGCGAGGGCAGCTGACGCATCACGTCTGTGTGTGTTGATTGCATCCTGCCTTTGGCCGCCTGTGCGTCTGCAGCTCTAATCGGCTGTGTGGTGTCTGACCAGGACACCCTCCTCACCATCAATGAGTGCTTTGTCAAGTGAGGGAGGGCCTGAGCTCACACCAAATTGTGCCCACCTCTCTCCCATGTCTCTGTCTGTCTGTCTGTCTGTCTGTCTGTCAGCAACGGCTATGTGCTCGACCCACACACAGCAGTGGCGCTGTCAGCCTATCGGTCGCTGCAGCCCTCCCTGCCTCCCTCTCTGCCGTGCGTCGTCCTTGCCACCGCACACCCCGCCAAGTTCCCATCAGTCGTCCAGCGAGCCCTGCGCATCGACGACTACTCGGCCCTGCCCGCCAAGGCCCACCACCCGGCCATCGAGCGCATCTTCTTGCGGCTGCCGCGGCTGCGGCTGTGCAGTTTCGATGACTTCCGTGCGTACATACGGGCCGAGATGGAGGCGGTGGATGGGTATCGGGTTCGGGTGCGGCAGTCGAAGGACGACAAGGTGCAGGGGGGCGGCTTCTGACCGATTGATAGCATTTCTGTGTCGCGGCGTGTGCGTGAGGCGGCTGCCTGCGTGGTGTCTGTCACTTTGTCTGTGTGATGTGGGGATGTGTGGTGCTTGGAAGCCGGGAGGTTTTGTACGTATGGATTCGGGAGATTCGACCTGCGCGTTAGGGCGGTCGTAAAACGGGTGTCAATGAAAAATCGGCTCTGGGTGTCGCTGTTTTGCTGACGCCGAAGGACAGTTGAGTTGTTCTGACGCGAGCATCATGAGCATGTACCTTCCCCCTTCCCGGCATCCCCCTGCATCCACAGGAGTTCGAATGCGTCACCCTCCCCACCACCAGGCCACCCGTCACGGCCACCCCACGGCCAGCAGTGCACACTATGGCCATCTGCCAGAGAATGCGGCCACAGCGGCTACGCAGGGGCCCTCCCAGACGTTGCATCAGGTGTGTGGAGAGGGCAATGGGTCGTGGGAGGCCGCCATGAGCGAGGACCAGCAGTGCCGCCAGCACCACTCATGCTGTCAACACAAGACGCGCTGCCTGTGCGAAGAGGGCGAGGTCCAGATGTCCAGGGAGGCTCTGAGGGCTTCGGGAAAGTGCGTCCACTCATGGCAGTACCACTTTTACGTAAGTGGGTGTTGGAGATAGAGGGAGCACATGCCATACACGCCATTGGCAGTGGCGGGTGTATCTGTTTGTTATTGCATGTGCTCTCCTAATACATATCAGGAGTTGGAAGATGCCACCCACTGTTTCCGCCAGGACTACTGCCTGGGCGCTGGCGTGTACGGCACGGTCTTCAAGGGCAACCTGCGAGGTCGGTGCAGCCAACACACGCACAGACAGACAGACAGACAGACAGACAGACAGAGAGACAGACATGTCCCTCTCCCCACTCATACATATAGAGTAATGCCGTGTGTGTATGCTCCTGTGGAATGCAGGACACGAGTGCGCGATCCTGCAGATAGAGCGACCGCCGCTGGCCGTCTTTGAGAAGCACGTGTTGACGCTCTTCAACCTCAGATAGGTATCCATCCATCCATTCATCCATCCATCCACCACGAGATGTGTGTCGCCTTGCTCGTCTGTCTGTCTGTCAGCTATTCATGCAGACATCCGTGTTTGGTCGCGCCGCTGGCCTGGGCCGTCGGCGGTCGGCATGGCTACCTCATCTACGATCGCGTGCCTGGCGGAGAGGCCGCCATCACCAACATGTACGCCGTGTCACTCGATGCCGTCAAGGACCGCCTCGCCCCGAACCGCCCCAAGCCTGAGGCCACCAATACGGAAGCTGGCGGTGGAACAGGGGAGGCTGAGCTGGTGGTGCTGTGGATAATGCTGCTAGTGCTGTTGCTCCTGTCGTGTGTGGCGGCGCTCTGCTCCGCTGTGGGCAATCTGGTGGTGGTGTGCTGCTGTGCGGTGGCCCTGTTGGTGCCCTGGGGCAGTCCACCACCCGAGAAGACGGCCGAGAAGCACCAGTCCCGGCAGCCCCGACCCCCCAGGAGGCGTTACGTCTTGTGCCTCGGCCGCCCCCTTGTTCCTCACCCCTTCATCATCCAGCCACCGCCCCAGCGACAGGAGAGCCAGGCCTGGCCCAACTGCCCCTGCAAACTCGCCGACAGGGAGGCCCAGGAGGACTTCTTTGTCAAGAACAGGCTCCCCCGTGACATCAAGATTGCACCCCCCGTGTACGCCCCCCTCCCCACGCCCCCCCCAACACGCGCCTCACTCGGCTTGGCCGTCAAGGAGCTGGATCCCGAGCGCATGCGCAAGTACGAGGCCCGCAGCAGCCGGCCCTCAGGCGTGGCCGCACGGATGGCAGCCAAGGCGCCACCGCTGCGCCAGATCCAGCCAGAGTGGGTGGCCGAGACGCCGCAGAGGCCAAGGGGGGCCAGCGGGGGGTTCGGATCAGCCAGGCGGGGAAGGGTGGGGGGGTTCACGCCCAGACGGGCGTGAGGGGTTCCCAACCAACACCGATCGATGGATGCCTAGTGAGTGCGTGAGTGGGTGGCTGTGGTTTGGGGCGTCATCCGCTCGTGTGCCTGCCCGCCTGGATGTATGATGGGGGGAGAATGTCTGTGTGCCCAATGTCTTGTGTGCACGTCTGGCCGTCTGTGTGCCCAATGTCTGGATGGGATTGTGCCGGCGGATAGGAAGAGAGAGCTGGTGTCTGATTTCGTCAGACACATCACAGACGGAGAGACGGATTCCGTATTTTTCGTTTTTCCCTCTTTCCTCTCTTTTGTCTACACGCGTGGGTGTCATTGACGTGCGTTGATGCGTCGGTGTGGATTCGCACGCCGCCTTGGCCACTTTTTGCTGACCAGCACCGCACGCACCACACCATACCACACACCAGCCAAAGGGGGAGAGGGGGATGAGAGAGAGAGAGAGAGAGGGAGCGGAAGAGACCAACGCCCATCAGAAGGCAAAAAACAGACAAAAGAGAGAATTAAGGCCCACAAGAAGGCCGCCGACGAGAGGGAGGGAGGGAGGGAGGGAGGCGGTGTGAGCGCTGACACATAGCGTACATTCGATATTCGGGTAAGCTCAGGAAGTGTTGGTGGAAGTGGTGGTGGGGAGGGGTCTGGTTTGGCCAAGATGGATGTAGACGAGGGTCAGGTTGGTGTTGGTGTGGGTGTGGGTGTGAATGAGGGAGAGAAGCCCACTCAACTGCGGCGTGTTGATCTGAATGGAGAGATGAGGGCCGTCATACTCTGGAAGCAGAGGTACCTGACCACCCACACACACATGTGATGCATGGATGCGTTGAGCGATCCCGGAGTGCATCTCTCTTGCTGTTGCTGTGTCTGTGTGGGTGGGGTAGGTGAGCAGACCAGCGGCGTCTTGACGAGGAGTCGCGAGGTCCTCTGTGCCTGACGACCGCGACAAACGCCTCGACGACAATGCGCTCTTCCTCGAGGCCGCCTGCCACATCGACGAGTGCCGACACTCAGACGTCACCTGGCTCACCATCCACTCAGGTATGTCCTGCACACCGTCTAGCAGACAAGCAGAGAGAGATATACCCATCGGCACCTTCTCTCTCGTGTGCCTTCATTGTTGTATGTGCAGGTCTGGGCATCCGCTATTCCCGCCGTCTCCGTGCGTTCAAGGTGTACTTCACCAACCGGTGGGGCCGCACCCACCACTCCAAGCGCATCTACCCCGTCGAGCCCCCCACCCGGCGCGAGCTCGACGAGGCCATCGCCAAGGCCGTCATGGAGCGCAACGGACTCGCACAGCTGGTCGAGTCACTCGCCGACGAGCACGAGGTCCTCTCGCCCGTCCGCAAGGTCACCAAGAGGCCCGTCAGGATGCCCGCGGAGGGGCTGCCCGTCCTGCCCCCACGCAAGGCCAACCAGTGGGACGGTTTCGACGTCGAGCTGTCCGTGCAAGACACACCGATGCCAGACAGGCAGGTCGGAGGGGCGGCAGACGGGCAGGCCAACATTGGGGCGAGGCCGACCACCAGATGGCGGATGCCAGTGGTGACGTTCAGGAGGGTGGGGGTGAGGATGCGGACAAGGGCGAGGGGGCCGCTGACCAGACGGGGGACGGCAGTGGCGATAAGGAGGGGCCGGAGGGGCAGGGGCAAGCTGATAGTGACAAGAAGGATGGACATCAAGTTGGTTGACGGTGACAAGAAGGATGACGCCGTAGAGGAGACCAGCAGGTAGAGGAGCAGCAGCAAGAGGAGGCGAGTACCGAAGCCAACTCTCACAAGAAGGTACGTCACCTGGACGCCCCCACACTCTCGATAACACCTGACATCGCTAAACATTTCGTCGTCTCTTCAGAGTTGTCTGAGTGGTTCCCCTTTGTGTCGCCCCTCCCGCCCCGCACACGCACCACCGTCGGCGAGAAAGCCAGGGACATCACCGACCGCATCAACACCGACCTGCGCGGCCCAAAGCTCGGCATCAGGTGGCGCGAGGGCGGCTTCGTCGTGCTCAAGCAGGCCCTGCAGCCCTTCAGGCCCATGGAGACGGTCGGCATCGGCCGCAGCCTGGACGGCAATCGGATCGAGGTGGCGGGGGTGAGGGTGGGCGCCATGCTCGACGCACTTCACGAGGCGTGGAAGGAAAAGCAGGAGGCACTCATCGCACAAGGTGGGTGGGAGAGAGAGGGAAACCCCACCTCAACGATGACGGTCATCTGTTTGTTGATGTGGTGTCATATTGTGTGTCTGCAGCAGCGAGGGCTCTTGAGGAGTCTGTGCCGATGCAGATAGACCAGCGTGGCTCGCGCAAGAACAAGCCAGCCCCACGCAAGTCGCCACCCAAGCCCCGCAGGCGCCGCGCGGCCCATAGAGGACTACCGCAGCAGCATCCAGTCCACACCCGGGCCAGACGGATCATCCATCCAAACGAGGCCGACCAACAGAAACGCGCTGGCCTTCGTCCATCTCAGCCACCAGCACCCACCACCGGCAACAGTGACCTCCTGGAGGAGCTGAAGTCGTTCGGCCATTGGCCAGCCCGCAGCGCCTGTGCCCTCTCCGCCGACGAGAAGCACCCCACCCACCACCCACCACTCACCGCCACCACGAGAAGAGGCCCCCGCGCCCCCATATGTAGACAGACGGGGGAGGATGGCTGTTTTTTGTTTTTGTCCATGGTATGGATTGCTTTTGAGTCAGCAGCCATACCCGTTGCCTTTTCTTCTCCTTTGTCGTATTCTTTTCGTCCTTCCGTATGGTGCGGACGCTGCTTTGTCGTTTTCTTTTCGTCCCTCGTCCCTCCGTATGGTGCGGACGCTGCTTTGTCGTTTTCTCTTCGTCCCTCCGTATGGTGCGGACACTCCCTTTTCGTTCGTGTGAGTGGGTGTGGTGCGTCGGTGTCTACTCCCCGTCTGTCTACTTCTTATGTGCGTCGGCGGTGTTCTCGTTGACCGAAACAATCGGTTGGTGGTGGTGGTGGTGGTGGTGCTTGTCGGGGGCGGGAGGTCGGTTGGTGGAGGGTGGGTGGATGGATGGATGGTGTCGGTCAGGGGCCTGGGTGAGTGCGGCTGGGTGCAGTGCGTGAGATGTGTGTGTGCATCCATGTCGACGATTGACTGACTGACTGACTGCGTGTTTATTGTATTTTTGGTCCACGGTTCATTCGACTTACTCACTCCACTCACCATGTGCTGTATATGGATGTATAGGCTTCCCTCACTGCACCCACAGACTCACTCACTGCTCCTCTCCTGCTTTGGGGGTTTTGGATGCGGCCCGCTTCACACCACAGCCGACCTCCAAGACACACATGCGCACCATAAGCACACATGACTAGCTCCACATTGTTAGTCCACCCTCATCTACAGGCTTCCTTCTGTCATCCAGCCGTTTTGCTTAGCGGCCCGCGACACGCCCACCCACCCAGGCACCCACATGCCGACACGATGCACAGCCTTCTCCTGCTGCGCAGGAGCACTGCTCTTTCCGCCGCTGTTTTTCGTCGCTGGCCGCGTTTTTCCAGCCTCCGGCGGACACCACAACTGCGCTTTCGACCCGCGACAGCTCCTTGTGCCGCCGCACACCTCTTTGTCTGATGTGTGGAAAGTGTTGTACGTATGGATCTGTAGATTCGGGCGGGCGTGACCGAGACCACACAACTTGCACTCGATAACGCTCGCGGTCGGAGACACTCACTCGTGGGCCTGGCAATCATGCATCACACAGACGGGTCGCCGTACATGCGGCACTGCGTCGTGGTGGCCTTGACGGCTTCCCAAATGCTCGCCTGAGCGGTGAACAGCGCTGTGTAGACCTGAGACACACACGTGGATGGACACACACACACACATGGATGGGCGTACGTATGAGACACGCGCAAAGGCGCTGACGTACTTACTTTGCCTGGGAAGACGCATGTGTAGGGGAAGTTGATCAAAGCACACACCTGCACCCTGACATGCGAAGGCACAGAGAGAGGATGGGTAGATGCATCCCTGTCTCTGTCTCTCTCTGTGTCTCCGGCTCACTTGTACACGAAGATGCACGCGCACAGGACGCCCATCAAAGTTGCGAGCACGCTGTTGATCATCGAAAACATGTTGTAACCTAAAACAGACACACAACCTCTGCATCCATCCATCAATCTCCTGGTTGGTTGTCGCATTGACCTGTCTGTGCCCC